TTCACTGGAAACGTAAGGTGAAAGATTACGAACAGAAAGGGCAGCAGCACGTGTGGCAAAGGAACTCGAAGCTGTCTGCCTGTCATGGGTGTATCACCGAGTTCAACTTTGGCAATTTCAGCCAAAGCTCTGGATTCAAGCTTAATAAATCCCAATCCTTTGCCTTTGTTGATAAAAACTTCTCCAGGGTCTCCATATTTAGCAAACAGTCTTTTGCATTCATCTTCCATGGTATCAGCAGGTAGATTCCCAACAACCACCCACCATCGCTGTGTGTAAGTTTTCTCTCCCGGCCTCCTCAAGAGAGACAAGCTGGCTTGAAACCCCTCCGAGTCCGAGATTTTCTCCTCGCTGCGGCCGCGGGGCCCAACGGGCGGGGGCCCCTGGTGGTGCTGGTGGTGGTAGGGCGGGTGGTGCTCGCCGTCCCCGCGAGGCTCCCCGCCGCCTGGATGCAGCGGCTTCGGGTGGCCGCCAGGAGTGCTTAGGCCGGGGCCGCCCCCTGGCTTTGGCCCGCCAGGCATTTTGCCGCCTTTGGGACCGCCCGGGCCTGGGCCAGGGGCCTGCCGCGGGCGGAGGCGGCGGGGAGTTGTGGTAGGGACCCCGCTGCTTGGCGGGGTGGGTGGCGGCACCCCGGGAGGAGCCAAGGTGACCGCGGGCGGCGGGGTCGGGCTTTCTTAATCCTACCTGTTCATGGTGTATGGTAATGTGATGAGAGATTCCATAATATTTTCTGATGTTAGATTCTAATATTTTCCGATATTTTATTTAAGCATTTTGCATCAATACTCATAATTTGATAAGTGTGCACTCTTCTTTGCTCTGCTTTTTAAAAATTGAGTATAAATATCAATGTTATACTTGCTACATAAGAAAGAAATTGGAAATTTTTCTTAAATTTAAGACCTTTGAATCAACTTATGGGGCATTAGGATGATCTAATCTTTCCAGATTTCCTAAAATTTATCTGTGAAACCATCTGTGCCTGGTGCTTTTTTGTGGGATAATTTATTGATAACTTCTCTGACTACTATGGAAATTATTCTGTTTAAGTATTCTATCAGTTTAGTTTGTATAGAAGTTTACAAAGTAGTTCTCGTTTCTTATGACTTTTAGAAATTTCTTTTGTTTCAATATTTCATTCACTCTCCTTTTTAATTTCATGTATGTGTGATTTGTATCTTTTATTTGTGATAACATTAGCTAGTAGCTTATTTCCTTTTTAAATGTAATTTATACATTATATCTTTGTTTTCTCGACTCTGTCATTAATATTTATATTTATATAAATATTTATATTTATATTTATATTATATAAATATATATCTGCTTTTATATTTATTACTTTCTTTCTTGTGCTTTCTTTTGAGTTTCTTTGTTGTTCTTTTTCTAGATTTATAACCTAGGAATTTAATTCATTCATTCTTAATCTCTCATTTTTATTTATATATGTGTTTCCTCAAAATGAGTTTCATTTAGTGAATTCCAGTATTCCAAGAAAAATGTTTTTGAAATTTAAGATGACTATATAGTGTATATATAGTGTAATAATGTAATGTGTGTATAATGTATATGGAAAAACTTATATGTATTCAGGGAACATATAAGCATTATATGGACATATAGTGTATATGCAATGTATATCGACTGTAGCCTGGACACTTACACTAAACCTTCACTCCAGTGGCATCCACAAATTGCCTCTCCTAAGACACATGTGACACCTAAAACATAAGGGCACTTTATGATGGATGACTACAATCTTAATATCGTGGTCCCATCCATCACTGCCTGCTTAATATTATTTAAATTGCTGATTCTATTCAATCAACAGGTGGTAAATATTTTGCTCTTATATATTTGGCTAACCTGGTCTGTTTAGTGCCTACTCCAACAGCCTCTCAGCTGAAGTTTGCTCTGCTGCTGAGGGGACACCATATGCCTTTCCAGGGTACCCATGGGGGACCTCCACAGCTTTATCACCATACACAATTTTTGCAGACAAGATCTTAATGACAACCCCCTTCTCCAGGAATATAGATACGACATTGCATCAAGGAAGTCCTACACTAAGGAAATGCATTTGATACACACATTCAAGACATTTAAGCCCAATATTTCTTAATACTTTTGGGCTCTGGTGGCAACATATTTCTCAGACAAATTTTATTGCTAAATTGAAATCAACAGGCACTCCTGTGTGTAATATCAAAAACTCCTTTACTGTAAGCCTTTGGCAAGCTCCTGCAACGCCTCCTAGAGTCTCTGTGTCAGCTATGACGGTCATTAGTTGCTTCAGGGCTTCTGATGCAAGATACTGTCCCTCTTGGCCTCAGGGACACATTAAAACAACAAATGACTGGCTACCTATGGGCTGTCTTGGAAGTAGAGGCTCTCACAGCCTGTGACCCTCCATACCCAGTTGCCCATTATGCTTTGAGTCATGGGAACATCACCCCACAAGCTCAGCTCGGCTACCAAGGCCTCCCTAAGACACAATGGAGCCAACCCTGGGCCCTCTGGGATAGTCCACTTGCAGGAGGGGGTGGCCTCCTCATTCTCTCAGTCCCTTGCCAGATGCCAGGGTGCTGGAGGAGGTCACCCCTCCCCCAGGCCCCTGGGCTATCTAGGAAGCCCTTTGGTGTTAACTGAGTGAACAGGAAGGGGAGTTCACGGATTTTGGAAATGGCATCATTAACCATCACACGTGATGCAGCTTAGTGGAGAGCTGTTGCTTTCCAACCCTTAGCCAGGACGTCCCTGATGAAGGACAGGACCCAAGAAAAAAACACACTTGGTCAAACTTCAGGAAGTCATCCTAGCACTGGCTGTCCTGGCCAAGAAATGGCCAGCTTCACATTCATTATTAATTATTGGGCCATTACCTAAAAATTGTTCCCATCAAGGTAAAAAAACAAACCCTGGGAATCTCTTATTTCACAGACATCCTAAGTACAAATCAAAATCACATAACTCTATGTATACTAAGAACACAATGCAAGGCCTTGCTAGTTCACTGCTTATTTCTTTCCAAGTTACAGACATTACTAATAGTTATGAAGGCACACATTTCACTCCTTAGAATACACTATGCTGGGCTCCTGGAGGAAGCATCCAATAGAACCTTCATGTCCCTGACAGGGCCCAATGGTGGCTTTAATGATGTCCTCAAATAACTTCTTTTCCAATTCCAATACAATAAATAAATTAAAGATCTTAAGTTTACCCCAGGTCTTAACCTATTTTTATAATTTTAATCTCGCTCCCATCCCTCAAGAGTTAGGGGCCAGATTAAAGATGCATATTCTCCTGGAACTCATAATCATAGATTATCCCCTAGACCAGGCAGCTGCTCATCTGATCTGGGACCCATTTGAACCCAAACTTCCACCCAAAACAAACCCTGTCAGGTGCAGCCACACTCTGTTCTGCCAATGGTGGATCTTATCACTACTGCCTTGGCTCCTTGCATTAGTTTACAATCGGAGGCCCAAAACCTTCAGCAGACCACTGTTTTAACCAATTATGACAAGGGCTGAGGCCCACATTAACTCCAGTGGGTCACCATGAAAAGGACACACCTGTCCCGCATCCCAGATGACATTGCCTTTGCCCTATAATTTGCCTCTGAAGGTGACATTGCCTCAGATGACACGCCTTAACCCAAGACCTTGATGTTGGAGATAGCTTTGCCCCTGGTGCCACAGATGGCTTCACTCCTTACACTAAACTTGCACTCCAGTGATGCCCACGGACTGGCTCTGCTAAGACACACAAGGGCACTGGGCATTTTTGCTTCTCTTTCTGTACTCACGGTGTCCTTAGCCCATGATCTTTGTATACTCCTTACTCTCTGTTCAAAGGTACACTGCCACACACCTCTAAACAAAACTTTAGCCTGCTGAAAGCCAATCTAGAAGCAATGGCTCAACAGATAACAGGCATTTTGTAACCTCACCCAGGTTCACAACATAAATAGAGATGTTCAACATTAGTGGTCAGGAAATGCAAATCAAGAGTAAAACTAGGTCTCACTTTATACCCTCGCAAGAAAAGAAGTCTGACCACACCAAGTGTGAGAGCGGGTCCGTGGTGTATGTGGGGGGAGTCTTTCATTTCCTGGGGAGACAATAAATTGATGTGTTATTTTGGAAAACAGTTTGGCTCTGCTCCCAAACTTGAACATTCACGCATTCATAGTCCAGCGGTTTCTCCTGCTGTGTGGAAACTGTGGAGAGGAGAATGAGGCTAGAAAGTAACAGAGAAGACAATAAGGAAGACGGGGCCAGTCTATAAGCAAGGCTGTCCGTGGAGGTAGATGGCAGCTGTTCAGTTCAAGAGATATTTAAATCAACAAACCGCAGAACAGGAAGGTCATAGAAAATGACATCCAAATGGGCAGTAAGCATATTAAAATGTGCTCACATTTGTTAGTTGTTAGGAAAGTGGTATAACCACAATGAAGGACTACTACACACCCACCAGAATCCAGAACTCGGATTTTTTTTTTTTTTTTTTTTTTTTTTTTTTTTTGAGACAGAACCTTGCTCTGTCACCCGGGCTGGAGTGCAGTGGTGCTCGGCTTACTGCAACCTCCACCTCCCAGGTTCAAGCAATTCTCCTGCCTCAGCCTCCCAAGGAGCTAGGACTACAGGCGTGCACCACCACGCCCAGCTAATTTTTGTATTTTGGGTGGAGACTGGGTTTTGCCATTTTGGCCATGCTGGTGTTGAACTCCTGACCTAAGGTGATCCACCTGCCTTGGCCTCCCGAAGTGCTGGTATTACAGGCGTGGACCACCGTGCCCAGCTGTGAGTGGGGACTTTTAGGTGGGAGTTATTACAGCATATGTGTGGAGGAGAGCAATGCATAGGGCAAGAAACAAGAGTTGGGGCCAGGTCATTGATAGTGGGGAAGGGGGCGAGATTGCATATGCCTGGGGCTTCACCTGCCTAGTTATAGGAAGGACAAGATTTGAGCAATCAGGGAAAGATAGCCATGCACACAAGGCGTTGCCTGAGAAGGTTGATAAAGGCTATACAACCCCTTCTCTTCCTACTTCCTTAGCCAGGCTCCAGCAGGTAGATTCAAAGGTTTCTTGTAGGATAGAAGTCCCTGCCTCAGCAGGTGCAGAGAGCTCTTGCAGCTGGGCTGGGCTGGGTGTGGCACTCTCCCTGCCCACTTCTACAACCTGGGGCAGGAAAAAAAAACCTGTGGGTGCCTCTGACCACAGCAGAGCTCAGAGAATCTGCGGGAGCCAGCTGAGCCGCCAGCATGGTAGAGTTCGCGCCCTTGTCTGTGCCGTGGGAGCGCAGGCTGCAGACCTTCGCCGTCCTGCAGTGGGTCTTCTCCTTCTTGATGCTGGGTAAGTTGGGCTGCACTGTGGGCTGGGAGACCACTGCACTCAGGTGGGGCAGAGCAGCCACACCAGGTGCACACGGCGCATTGATGTTGAGAAGACATTTATCCTAAAGGGGCCTTTATTGCACTCACAGCTCCTGCCCAGAGAGAACTCCTGGGCCTACCCAGAGGCTTCTTGGGGGTGGAATGGCGTAGAAGTCACCGTCTGTGGCTCTGGGCAGGTTACTTCCCTTTCCTGGATTACACTGTGGGTTCTCCTTTGGCACTTGGATAGAGACCAATCTGCAGGCTGCCAGGCGGTGTGGGAAAGCCTCTGGGTGATGATGGGAGAGTTCTGGGCTCTGCAACCTGTTCAGAGAGGAGGGATTTTCCTTCTGTGCTCTAAGAGAGGAGGCAACCAGGGCTGGTAGTAGGGTAAGCAAGAGAAATGGGAAAAACAGGAGGTCGGGGAGAAGGTCCAGGCTGAGAGTCAACTGTGGAGTGGGCATGCTGGGCACCAGGAAACCTGGAGTCAGACTCAGCTGGGCAACTGACCAGTTGCACGACTTTGGCCAGCCCATGCCTGACCTCTCCAAGCCTCAGCTTCACCCTCTGCAGAAAGGGGACAACAGTGCTGGCCTTGCAGGACTCTTGTGGAGGAGATGGAGAAATGGGCTGACCTTTGCTCAGCACAGACCTGGCCTGGGCCCTGGGCTGGGCTCACACTGGCGGGCATGGGCATGTCTCCTTACCCACCCCACCACTGATTTGTGGCCAGAGAGATCGCCCTTGCCCAAACAACAGCTCTGCCAAAGGTAACATTTTCTAGCAGGGCCTGGATCTGGGGCTTGAGAAGAGAGAATGACTGGGAATCTGTGGGATTTTCCTTTCATCTGCTGGCACCCGGCAGGATAGGAACTGCTGCCTCCAGGGCTGGGGTTCAGTCTGTACACAGATACCACTTAACTGGTTGTTCAAATGTTGACTCTCTCTCTCCTCTCCCCCTCCCCACACACGTACTTCCTCAGAAACTCCCCCACAATTTTGTAGCTAAAAAACTGCCCCTTGCCGAAGCAGGCCCTCCAGGACCCTGCCCTAGCATCGCTTCTGGTCAAGCTGCATCTCTGTTCTAAGAGTTGTTAGACATCTTACATATCCCTGTATATCCTCCCTCCCTCCCTCTTTCAACAACAAAAGTCACTGGTCACTGGAGGCAAAGGAACCAGAGCTCAGCAGGGTTTGGAAACATTGCATAGTTCAGAGCGGCCACAGACATGAGGCAGGAGCGGGAGGGACAGGGCTGGCTCTGGGCCTTCTGGAGGCCAGGCTGATCTGCCAACAGTTTCTTCTTTCCTCCGAAGCTGAGATCTGCATTGCGGGCTTCATAGCCCTCCTGTTTACAAGATTCTGGCTCCTCAGTGTCCTGTATGCGGTCTGGTGGTACCTGGACAGAGACAAGCCGCGGCAGGGGGGTCGGCGCATCCAGGCCATCAGGTGCTGGACCATATGGAAGTACATGAAGGACTATTTCCCCATCTCGGTGAGTACTGAGGCTGGTTGGGGTGGGGGAGGGGGTTGGCTGGGGTGTGGTCATGGCCTGAGTGCTCGAATCTCCACGAGAGAGTATGGCCCTGCATGCATTTGGAGAGTACTGGGCTGGGAGGCAGGAGCTAGGGCTTCCGCTACTACGTGACCTGGAGAAGAGTCCAGCTTCTCTACCATCACAGTTTCACATCTGCAGGGATGTGGGGCCAATACGCAGATGGATGAATGTCCAGCGTTTGAAGGAGCTCCATGGGGTATATGGTGTGAGGCACACCTATGTATCTTAAAGACACAAACCCATCAGCACCCCAGGCTTGGGGGTGAAGGTAGTAAGCTCACAGGTCCTAAGGACCATCTAGCCTCACACTTAACATTCACCGGAAGACGAGGCTGACACTCAGAGAAGGAGGGAATGTCACCAAGTTCACACAGCAAGTTCTTTTACAGATTTCCAAGTGTGTGCACTGACTGTGGATAAAGGGACAGGGGAGAGAGCCCTGAATTGTTCTCAGCTCCTACCCTGCCCCTAACTCTGGCATGTAGTGTATCTTTGGGCAAAGCCTTATCCTGTTCTGAGGCTCAGTTTCCCCGTGTATCTAGTAGTACACTGATCCCTCCTCCCTCTGCATGCCTTCCAACCTCTGGCTTTCCAACTCCTGTCACCTCACGGTCATTGTGGATACTTGGCCCTGGTCTTGAAGATGTGTCCAGAGCAGATCCCTGGATCTGAGACCTTTTGACTCTTTCAGTGGAATCCCAGGTAGTCTGAAACCTTGATCTATGCAGCCAGGCAGAGATGGTTTATTGGCCAGATGGATAGGATGGGGCAGGCAGTGGGCATGCAGAGAAGACACAGGCAGCTGGTCCTCCTCTGGAAGTAGAAGAAAGGGCTAAGATATAGCCCCTGGAGATGGGCAGACAAGATTCTGACTCCAGGTCTTCCCATACCGTACCAGCTATATGATTGTGGGTAAGTTAGTCTCTCTGAGCCTCAGTCTCCTCATATGTAAAATGGGGATAATCCCACATCCCTCACTGGGTTGTGTAGATTCAATGAGGTGAATCAGGTAAAGCACCTTGCAGGTTTTCAGTGAACGGGTTGCTAGTATTATTTTCCTGCGGCAGTGGGACTCAGGAGACGTGGACAGGCCCTTGAATCTGGGAAGGACTCTGAGAGCCTAGAGCCCTGCTGCTCTGACCTCCACACCTGCGGTGACTTCTCCCGCCCCGTCTGGGAGCCCTACCTCTTCCTGTCCCTCCAGAAACAAGGTCTCCAGCTGGAAACGGGGAGGGGCAGGGAAAGCAAGCGCACCAAAGCTAAGCAACTTGTCTTGAGTTACGGGAATGTACGGTGGTGGGGGCTCCTGCCCTGCTTCCTTCTGAGAGTCCTGGGGCCCAAGAAGGACTAGTAGAGGCTGAGCCACACTGGAAGGCAGGAGCTTCTACAGCCCAGTGAGCAGGGCGTCCAGGGCAAAGGGCAAGGGAGGTGCTGGGCAAAGGGCGGGCAGCGGCTGACGGAGACTGCTGTGCTCACAAGGGGTGACAGATGTGGAAGGGCAGAGCATGGTCTAGCCTGGGGAACCCAGGAGGGGGGCAGTCTCCCCTGGCCCTCATATGTGTTTCCTCTGCAGGACCCCCTGGAGGGGGGTCCTGTCAGCAAAGGTCAGCTGGGTCTTGTCAGCAAAGAAACTTAGGGCTTGTTGGGTTCTAGGAGCAGCCATGGACCTGTCACGGGCAGAGTCTTCATCCCCACCCCAGAACCTCTGCACTTTGACATTGACCTCCCTTTCCTGCCTCTCCTCTCTCCAGCCTGGGCTTCCTCTCGTGTGCCAGGAAGGTCAGAGTTTCCCTGGGAAAGTGTGCTGCGGCCAGCCTGGGGAGGTGTGTGTGACATCAGGGACCAAGCCAAAGAAACCCTGAAGCAGGTTCTGGCTCTAACCTCACTTCCTGCTCTGGAGCTGAATCCCAAGCTCACCGGGGGGTAAAAAGCAGCCTGAAAAGGCAACCACACCAGCACAGGCCCAGACACTTGCCACAGGGTGAGTCCTGAGCCACAGCCTGACATTCAGCATGGCTAAAGCAGAAGGCAGGCCTGCAGACTAGGCTGGGGAGGTCCTCAGGTCAGAGAGTGGAGGCCACTGGAGGCCATCCCGCAGGCCTGGGACTGCTCATCTCCCGGGGTGTCTTCAGCCAGCCCAAGGGCCTCAAAAGACAGTAGCTGGCCTTCTTTGCACCTGGAGCGTTTACTGTTGCAGGTCTGGCAGAAATGCTGAGGCGGCGCTGTGCCTACCTTATCAACATCCTTCCTGCTCCTTCCCCAGCCAGGTGGCTCTTGAGGAGGGTATCTCAACCTTAGCACTCTTGACACTGGTGGGAGACAGGCCTGGATTTGCAGAAATTCTATGGGCACTATTTTTTTTTTTTTTTTTTTTTTTTTGGTTTTTGTTGTTTTTTCCGGGATTCTCGCTCACGGCAGGCCCCTTGCAGCACCACCTGCCAAGGGCAATGCCACTGAGTGGCCAGCAGAGGGCGAGATGATGGTCACTTTGACTTTGTCCTAAGCTGGGGCTGCTGGTTGGGGCTGTGGCCTGCAGACTCTCTTTCCACAGACCTGCCCACCCTCCCACACACCTTCAGTGCCCCGGCCCTGCAGGGATCGTAGGGTGAGCAGACAGTAGGGAGCCCCAGCTCTGCTGAGCTCCTCTCACATTCACAAATCTCTGTGCTCCCTTGCCACGCAAATGTGGCCGTCCAGTGATTTCTGAGCTTTTATCAGTTCTTAGCGTGTCTTTTTTTTTGAACTAGTGCCTGGTGATGGAATTTCAAGAAAAATTCAGAAACCGTTTCTGGGCCTCGGAACTTTCTAAAGTCACCCAGTCAGCTTCCCAAAGAGCTAATGGTGGAGGTCAGGCAATGTTTTGTGTGGGAGGAGCTGTTCCCACCCGAAACTGAAGACCCACCCAGTCGCTGGGTTTCCCCGGTGCTGAAGATTTCATCATGCAGAGCAAACACTGTCTCCACAGGCCAAGACCTTAGGCACCAAGGGCTGTGGCCAGGGCTGTGACCTGTTAGGAAATGCTGCCCACATCGTGCCTGTCACTGTCAGAGCCAGGCTTCTGGCAGCGTGCAGGCCACCTCCCTGACCCCACCCACCCACACCTGTGACACAGCCTCAGCTCTTCTGCAGCCTGCCAGGCGCCTCTAGGGCCTTAGTGCCTGACCTCCTACCTGCCACCTCTTAGCACACTGGGGTCTCTTAACCTGAGTCAGTGAGACTCAGGTGGCCAGCTTTCACCCAGGACAGAAACCCCAGCTTACACAATAGGATGCGTGCTTCCTTCTGAGATGGCCCGCTTGGTTATAGGAAGGCTCTGCCTGGGAAGTCTTCCTCACATGGAGCTGGGGCACATCTCCAGGACCCTCCCGGGAGTCCTGCCTCTGCCACGGGCAGGGAGAGCTGGCACAGAGCACAGCGGTTCCCTTAACCCCAGGGCTGCCTTGCAGGGACTGGGTTTCTCCCACCTTATTCTGATCCACTGCACCCCCTAGCCAGGTAGCTCTCCAGGTGGCTTCGTCTACCTGGGCACCACTGACATTTGGGGCTGTATTATTCTTGGTTATGGGGGCTGTCCACACCCCTGGCATCTACCCACTCAATGCCAGTAGCACTATCCCTCCCTGTTATATTGTAGACATTAACAAATGTCTTCTGCTGGGGGAGGGGGAGGAGCTGGGAGGCACACACTTGCCCCAGTGGAGAACCACTACTCTAAAGCCTGGGCTCTGCCTTCTAAGCTCCTGCAGCCTGACTCGTTTCTCCTCCCCGAGCCCTAAGTCCTGACCACACATATCTCTTTATTTCGTCGACTCGACTCTGCCAATGCCTTTATTTCGTCGACCCTACTCTGCCAATGCCCCCTGCAGTCCATCCACCACACTGCGGCTGGAATAATCCTCATAAAATGAGTGAACACAGCAGTGACAGTGACTCCTACAGCTCTTAAAGTCTATTTTTGCTGCAGCCTGCAAGTCCCTGCACTCTGGGCCCCTGCCCAGGCCCCCGCCCACCCCCACCTGCCTGCCCTCCCCTTGCCATCCGAGTTGCCTAGGCATGAGCCACACAGCTTGTGCTGGCACTCTTGCTTGGAGTGCATCCTCTTGCCCCATGAATCCCCTTTCACTTAGGGCTCCTGCTGGGTGGAGCTAGGCTTCTGGGGACCCTGGCTCTGAGTCTATACTAGCTGTATGACCTACAACTAGTTAATGAACCTTGTGTCTCAATTTCCTCATCTGTTAAATGGGGGCAGTGATACAACACTTCCCGCATACAGTTGACGGAGGGTGAGGCAAGTTGGTCTACGAAAGATGCCTGGCTGGCATCTAGTAGGTGCTGGGAGAGTTTACCACCCCTGGTACTCTTTCCAGCTCTCAGGGCCTGGCACTTCCTGTATTTTTTCAACTCTAAGACATCCTCAAGAGTAAAACATGCCAGTATTTCATGCACCACTGAGAGAAAAAGTTCCAATTAGAAATGAAAGGCGGATCTTAATTTCAAACTGTTTAAAGTAGGCAGGGAGAATGTGCATGTTAGAATTGAGGGAGTGGGTCCATGGGTATCGAAGTGTGTCTGTGAAATGAGTATGTGACCATAGCAGGGCAAGGACCAACTGATAACTTATCTACAGAGAGTACTGGGGAGGCCAAAGCCCTATCCAGGGCCACAGGGAGTTACAGCCAGGGCCAGGGAGAACATCCAAGCCTTTCCATCCCTCTAAGCTGGATGGATGGGGGGAGACAGGGAAGCACCCTCGTTCACACACACACATACACACACACAGAGCGAACCACTTGAACCTGATTTTGGAATTTTGATGTGTAACCAAATCTCCTAGGATATTTGTCACAAATCAGATGCCCAAGGCCAGATCAGACCTTCTGAATCAGACCCTGCAAGCCCAGCACTTTTTTTTTTTTTTTTTTTTTTAACATGTGGAC